TAGTATATATATATATATATATATATATATATATATATATATATATATTAAAAGTTTCTCTCCAAGTGCTCTCTCTCTCTACTAAACTAAAAAGTATCATTCTGAAAAAAAAAAAAGAGTTGCTCTCTAAGTACTCCTGTATTGTACTTATATAAATCCACTCTTTAAACAAAACTTCCAGGCTCTCCTTAGGTAGGGACTTCAACTATGGATCAATTCTGGTATCTCACTCCTGCTCCCACTCTTGACAGCTATGGTCACCACCAATCCAATGCACTTAACCTACGTGACTTCATGGTTCTTGACTAAACGAATGACACGCTAGCATAAGTTAACCAACATGAGCATTGTGCTCTGGTTGGATATTTTATTGCCATAAGGACACAAAATTATAGGTTCATGTCTTTATAAATAACTAACAATATAATGTTCTTCCTAGTTCCTAATGAAAGCTTACTTCATGCAGCTTCATTCTACAGACATGTCATTATTTGGTATCATATCTGTCATGCTTTAATGCATCAATACTTCTTAGTTATTTAGAGCAAGGAGAAGTGACAGGTACCTCAGCCCCTTGTTTGAACAATGCGACCTTGTATGGATGCAGGTGCTTTTCTACCATGAGATGAAACTTGCCAACTGCTTTTGCCACACGGCATACTTTCACACCTCCGTTGTCAATGATGATGTTACACACCTTGCCGTCCCATGCACATCACGGTCAAAGTACATTGATTTGCAACAAAAGTTCTCCTTGTGGTGTGCGCGGTCAAGAGAAGTGGTGGAGTGGTAAAGAAAGTGTGTGTTGAAGCAATAGGGACTCGCCTTGGTTAACTACCACTTCACTCTCCTGATCATCAAACTTAACATCACCTCCAACCATAATCATTGTGTGCTTATCGTGGTCCACCTCCTGTTCTGTATAATACTCGAGTTCAAGGAATTGGTGTGGTGCTGAGTTGCATGCAACAAATACTCAGTAGATCAGTGAACCACCTCATTGCGCCTGTAACATCTAGGATCAGTGGCATTTTTGGCTAGGGTTAGCCCTAGTTCCCATAGCCATGCCATCTTTAGCGGCCTAAACTCCCTCAGCAGGAGGCACAAGACCCCTAGATTGAGACGATCCCTCCCTTTACGTGGGTTTCGATGTGGATGCTCCCTTCCACTATTGTTCCTCTACCTTTAAAGCTGCATTATGGGCTGCTGCCAACTAGCTAAAGGATTACCATATTTCTATATAGTTTCTTTCCTCAATTTATGGAAGTCCCCTTCAAAGAATCCAATCCACAAGGAAACTCCAAGATTTGTTTGGGTGAAGGAAAACTCCAAGTTAATCCTAAAGAAGTAGAATATGTTAATTGACTACCCTTGCCTAAATAAAATTCGTTATGACCTCACTTCACAACAACCTAAAAAATGACCAAAAACAATAATAAAGTCAATCCTTGAAAAATAAAATTCAATCAGCCCATAACTTGCATGTAATTTGCATCAGTTCCTCTTGTCTTTTTATACGAAAA